TTTTTTTTAATCGGGTGGTTGCTATAGACGGCAAATCTGTTGCTAATACAGTATGTTTATATAAGTCCAGTTTGCTCGATCAGTTAGCTAAGATTGTCGTAATGCATTCTTCTTAAGCGCCGTACCCAGCAGTAAAACTAGAGTCAAATTTCAGTAAACTGTAAAGTTTTGCAAATTACGGTGTGAATTTTACATTTTTAAATGCCTCTCAAAAAATATATCAGCCTTCACAGTCAGAATACATAATCTGTTAGAAAATAAGTCGATTATACCAAACAGTCAAATATCAAAGTTCCCCTTTTTTGTTCAAAATTGTATATCAATGAACAAAGACAAGTGATATTTTTGCTTGATTTTCACCTTTCTTCTCAAGTCTGTATATACTCCCTGATGTGATTGACAAGGATTTCATATTCGGAGGCATGTCTGTATTTTCCTTGCATTTTGTGAAGATGTTCCTTCGACTCACACCCGGCCCAGTTGTGCAGTCTGCCACACGGGTTTTGCGCGCCGGAATTGGGGCGATTTGCGAAGTGAATCGGCAGAGAGTTGTACACCTTGGACGTCGGTGGCGTTGCGGCGTCACGCGCTTCATTTCTATACGAGGTGATTTTGCCGTTGATGGCGGCACGAAGGCGACGCCAGTGAGGTTTGGAAGTTGAGACAGGACTGGAAGAGCAGCCTTTTTTCAGTATTGGCTTTTGTAAGAAAGTTGAGATTTTTCTTTCTAAATTTTGCCTGTTTTCTACCTCCTTCAGTTTCAGATCTTGCAAAGACGCGGTAACAAGTTGGACAGCTGAGGCGTCATTTTTATTTTTGCTACTCGGCGGAGAGGGAACCAGCGTTTTCTTTTGCGCCATCTTTTCCACCTTGCCTCTAGGGTTTACCTTTTGAAAACGCGAGGAGTCAGTTCGTTTGAACTTCTTTTGGTGAATGTTGGGAATTTTGCAAGTCTGAACAGAGTCACTTGATATCGATAACCTGTTAATTGGAGGAGCCAAAAGTTGGCGATTCGACGCTGGGCTCAGGATTTCCTCCACATCAGACGCCGAATAAGGTCTTTCAGGACGACAAGGAGTTAACTCAGACACGTCTTCAATGTTGGCAAATTTCACTGTGCGCTGGAATACAGGCGGGCAACTTAAAGTGCCGTCATTTTCGCACCCAGTCGATTTTGTGATGACGACTTTGGGGCGACGAGGTCTTTTCGGCAACAGAACTTCGTTGTCTGGAAAGCTACGAGCACGCGCAACTTGCGGTCTCTTAGTTTTACCTGTATGTGAGGAGGCTGAATTCTTCCTAACTTTGTGCTGTTCGTTGACGCAATTCTCCGTCTTTTTCTTGCGACTAGCTTCAAGAGTTTGTGCTTTGTTCGACAGCATGTTTGTACGCACTCTGGAGGCAGTTGATAATTTGTGCCTTGTCTGTTTTTCCAAAGTTTTTGTGCTTGCCATTACACCAGAAAGCAAAAACGTTTTTCTTTTACTCTGTAAATTCGTCACCGGTACGTTTACTGGAAGAATTTCATGTCACTGCGCTATAATTCAGTATCTCATAACGCAAAATGGCTCGTTAAAAGTCCACTGGCGAGTATGGTATATTTCGGATATTTCACTGCTGCTGTATGTTAAATTCAACGTCTTCACCCTGATAAGGTCGCTGCATAATGTATGGAAAATGCCACTTTTTGTTCTTTTAACGCATAAAATACACGGCTGAGTTTATGCATATAAATGGTTCATTATAAGGCCCGAGCTGCCAGAATCGCTGCATGTTCGCTCTTTAAGGCCGTGATGACGCATTCCTTACATTATCACGCTTTATCAAAACAAATCAAGCACTTTAATTTTCTCGTCTTTATAGGCACCAAGAGGTTTTTATGTCCATTTTCTGCAACTCTAGCGCGCAGTCACTCCTGAGTATAACTCTAGGACCTGGCCAGGGTTGGCTTAAAGTACAAGGTTTTAACTCTTCTTTGGCCACCTTTTCTGGACACCGCCCGCCCTTATTTATTTGGGCCCATAATCGACTTGTCGCCGATGGCCAAGGCCTCGAGTTTGAATTGGAATTCACATTGTTCTTTAAGCTGCTGCGAGATTTATAACCAGAAATGTATGACGCATTTACACTGCACGTTTTTGTTCCTGCCTGGTCCTAACGCGCGCTGTGCTCTAGATCTGGCGTTGCCTGTCCACAGTGGCTCCCTGACGACTGCACTAGTAGACCTTGTTTTGAGGGCATGGTTGATCTTTAATTAACTTGTTTGTCTTTTCACACTACGTGGTATTTATTTGGACGCGTTATTGTTGTTTACGATGCTACTTTTGACCTTTTCTGAAAATTGTGCTGAAATAGCAAAGGTTAATTTGGAACTGTTCTAAGAAACTTTACCATTAAAGAAAACAAACCGTTACATCAAAGTTAGATGTTAAAACGTATGTAGATGTAAAAATAGTAGGTAATCTTTGTTTGTGATTGCGGTTGCTATGCAACACATCAATGTTGTTCTTAGTGGCGATTGCGTTTTCTTAGAACGCACTGTTTGCCATTTTAAAACTGTGCCCGTTGTATCCATTTTACTTCTATTGAAAATCTTTTATATAATTACTGAAATTTAAAAAACTGCCGACCATGTAAGAAAAATAAAATCCGTATTTTTATTTAATCAGTAGAGTTCACTGTATATTACTTAAAATACAGGCCAGGTTCTATGGGCTTTTACCACCAGTATGAAAGAAATGCACCTAACTGTCTTGGACTTGTTTTTACAGCTTTGAATACTTCATTATATACTTCTTTATTCAAATGTGACCAGAGGCCGTATTCTTGAAAGGTTGTAACTTACAGATTCTTGTAACTTTTCACGTATATCCGATTGTTGTCGTAAGTTGGTATTCTGGAAGGTTTGTAAGCTACAAAGTTTCGAGAATAAGTCCCCAGAAGTCGATGGTTTTTTGTGACGTACACAGTTCAAATGTTTAGCATTGATCTGACTACTGTATTGAAGGTGAAACCAATTTATTGATATACCTATTTTATCAGGAGAGAAAGAAGTCATTTAAATAAATAATAAAATTAAAAACGAGTTATTTGTTTCATGTGCCATCAAAATATTGGCAAGTTGAATGTATCAAAGATCAATAATCAATATCAACAGAAAATTTTCTAAAAAACTGCACTTGTGGTTAACTTTCGCCAAACCTGTGTATAAAGCAAGTGCTAAACACCTTTTTTAGGTCCTAGGTCCCCAGAACCCATTATACTCCGAAACTACCTTATCAGGACACGTGTTAGGGGTAATTACGACTGGAAGTCCGAAGGGCAATGGCTCCCCTGGCAGTTTTGGTCAACCGCACAAAGGTCGTCTGCTGCGAAAACGCGTCACTCGATTTGAGAATTAAGCCGGCTAGTTAGACGAAGCATGCGCTGTGAGATGGAATAAAAAACTGACGCAGGGGTGGCTGGGATAGTGTAATTTCTTTGAAAGCAATGAACCAATTTCGACAGTTTTGGTTCGGTTTTTAGATTGACTAGGAGACACATTGCATGTGTCCAGTAATAAGTAGTGATAGCACATTCAGCTAATGTATGTAAAACATGTCAGAATTTTTTAACACTTTCTTCAGCTGTTTTTAATAATCCAATCACTTCGGACAAATGAATTTTTTTTACCTCAGGAATTGGTTTCTGTCGCTACTCTTAAAAGTGACACATAAAAGCCATTAAAGTTTAACATAGCACGAAGAGGTACAACTACGTTGGCATGTACTTAAGACTGATACGTTAAATAGTTGATGTACATTACCGCTGTTGCATTTAATTAAACCACTGAAACAAATTGCAAGGTCTCTGCAAAATAAGGGGGCGTAGGCCGAGTCTGGATTTACTGAAGCACGTTAAGAAGATTTACTTATACACTGATCAATTCCGCAAAATGTCCTAATCTGAAGCGTATTTATAACTAGGCTACATAGAACGGTATAATGATATAGATTTCACAACTCAAATGTACCCCCAAATGCCTTAAAAACCGACTTGAGAGGTTGTTGAATCAGACGCCATCCAGATAATATTTGAAGGGGGCGTCCCGCAAAACGAGGTGGCAAGGACTGTCGTGTATGCCCCCATGTTGGGCACGTACAACCAGTCTCCGATGTCCAATTCGGGCAGTTGGATGTTCTGTGCCAGGCGATCGTCGGGGTTGAGTGTTGAACCCCAGACGTTGCTCTTATGGAACGGCACCAAGGGTTTGTCCTGCAAAATCAAACCTTAACAATAACATATCATTATTATTATTTCTTTTTTTCTTAATTTTTATTTTGAATTCATTTAGTTCAGGGTAGATTTGGAATTCATTACAGGTTAATTTTTTTATCACATAGGTTCAGGTAGTGGAGGCTTTCTAAAAACTATATGAATTTAAATGGTAAATGGTAAGGATCTGGATAGAGAAAAAAGCTAAGGTGATCGCGAGGGAAAGGTTTTGGTCACAGATATTTATATTCATTTGGTGAAAAATGCCGCAAAGTTGCCTGCTGAAAACATGATTAGTGCCAACATTTTCCCAATCTTTTTGTCTGATCTACGTAGGTACCTCAAGCAGGTGGAAGTCTGGAACTTTCTTATCATATGTCACTGTCTTACTGAATGCGCCATGAACCCCATCGTTAAGGTAGTAATCGTATACATCATTCGAGACCTGAAAGGAAATAGACATGTATGGCCGCATTCAGAACAGATGATCCGCGGTCTAACTGAGTCGGCCTGAAGGCGGGGTGACCATCAGGGGATAAGGCGGCTTGTTTATACGTGGGGTCAGCCGTATTTAGTCTTATTTAGTTAGTCAGGGGATAATTTGTTCTGAATGCGACCAATGGTAAACAAAAAAATCCAAACATGTATAATAAAGACGCACCTAATATAAGGTTACATTCATGTGTAGTGACATGTAAAAAGTGAAAATATTGTTTTAAAAAGAAGAAAACGCAAGATTAATTTATTGTTCCCGGATAATGTTAGAGTACATTGAAAGGGTCTTACCCGTTTACCAATCACTCTTAGTACATAAGTGAAAGCCGACTGCACGTAGTACGTCCCGGGTTCCGCAATGACAACAACATTTTCTTCAGTTGGAAAATATTCATCCAGAGTTTTATTGATTCTTTTTGCCCCATCGGCGAATGTCGGGTTGCCTTCGGTTGAATAACCGGGGAATCCACCACCGATGTCCAGGAAGTTGAAGTTGAAGCCGATGGTTTTAGCTAAATCGAAGACACGACGACAAAAGATTATGGTGTCCAAGTGGGAAACGACATCGAAACCGGAGCGACCTATTTGAAAACTAAATAAAGGTTAAAGTTACAATTTGAGTATTCCTCATTTGTCTATGTTTGCTTATGCAATACGAGTCTGCAATGAGAGCGAAATGAGACATGACCGATATAAATCCATTTGAAAAACAGAAAGAATAAAAAATTGCTAAAAAAATTGCTATCCAAGTGCTTTCCCTGTTTATGCTTTATCAGTTTGTGTGCAGACGACAAACGGACTTTTTGTTTGGTGCCAAAACAAGACTTCCATTATCATCCAAAATGGAGCTTCGTTTTGACATCAAACACACCTACATTTTGTCATTGAGCTAGTGCCAAAACGAAGCAATCGTATGCCACGGTTCTATGTCTATCGGTTTACACGGACGTTAGCGTTGTACATTCCAAATGAACAGATAACGCGGAAGTATACCAGAGTGTTTTAAACCAATCAAATTACAGACTTTTCGTTGACTGAACAGTAATTCTGATTGTATTTAGTTACTGCATTTATCATGAACATCTAAAGCCTTTATTTCATTAAGCACGCCTAGCCTCAGTAGGAATAAAACGCACATTTCCCAGCTTACGCCATATAGCATTATTGGATAAATATTCAACTAAAATATTAACGCAGAAAATAACGTGAATCAAATAAAATCAATCATATTAACGTTTCTGGCTATATATATATATATTCTCCAGAATATAGAATAGTGCCAATGGTACAGCGATTAAAGATAACCAAAGAACTGGTTCAGAAGCTGCAGGGTTACCTGACACCAACCACATTGAGATCCATTTTTTTGGCCTTCACTAGGAGGTCTTCGCATCGATCGGCCAGGCACCCGTACTTTTCATCAATTACGTCACCAGAGCCCCTTTCAAATGGTAAAATCCTTAAAACAAGGCTAGTCGTAGGGTTTATACTCTTAATCTTGACTAATTCATGCTCATTGTCAAACACCATCAAATTAATTCCAAATTCAGATGCTGATTTGATATCGTCTGGATCTTTGACTGGGTGGCCATATATAATCCTATCAGTTTCTACCCCAAGCTTCAAAATCTGTTCAATGTCTGAAATGTTGCAGCAGTCAAATCCCGCCCCGAGTGCCGCAATGGTCTTCACGACTGGTTCAGTGTTGTTACATTTCACGGCGTAGAAGGGTTTGACACGTGGCATCAGTTCCACCCAGCGCTTGTGTTTGTTAACGATGTCATCCAAGTTGGCAATATAGTGAGGGCGCTGCAATCAAATTGTTGTTATTGAATTGGTTAAACCTCTGTTTATGAAAACGATACATCTTACTAGCACCTAAAGAACAGGCCTTGTAATCGGTAACAATAATAATAATAGTAATAGTGGAGCATTAGAATGAATATACGCTTAATGTTTTTGCATAAACACCATCTTTATGATATTTAAAATATCAATACTTAATAATATCATTTGATTGTTATACTTTATCATGAATGACAGACACTTTTGAGGGTATTTACTATTGCTTTTAGACCGACTATGACTGTTTTCAAAGAACCATTCCTACCCTGTTAGCCCCTTCACTTATTTTGTCTTTGATAAGTTGCTGTATTGCCTTGCTGTTACAGTTTCCATGAAGATTTTCCGTGCAATGGGTCTGAATTGTTGTCATTTTTCTTTCTTTCCAAGAATGTTCAGAGAAACTGAAATTAATGGTATATTTAGAACAAAGACCTATAAGTTATAGAAAATGCCGAAACCATTTGAATAATTTGTAATTTTTTTGACGTTTGGTTATTTTGTATCATTTTTATTCTACCTCTGTTGTTTGGCAACGAATCGCTTGTTAGACAATACGTGAAATGATAAGACGCCTAAAGTCCACAATGGCAATAGCATATTTAGTAAAATGTTTGTAGTGACATGTAACAGAGATTTAGCTACTAAGTTCAATTTCTTCTACTGCGGTCGGATAAACAATGTAATTAGCCCTGCATTCTAGGGTGCGAATATCTCTAGATTGTGTATAAAATATGAGTTAAAGTATAAGTGTCAGTGCTCTTTCGGTACAAACAGGCCTTTTGCAGGTGGCTGTCACGTGACTAGATACCGCGTGACATCGCCATTTGGAGAGCAAGCTCCTCTGTAAACAAAACAAGTCAATAAGGCGGCATATAGCTACAAAATGCCTATTGGTTTTAAACACCCTGCTTTCATTAAGGGGCACAAGTCAGTCTAAAACCAGGAGAGTGGCACCGTGGCATTTTCTCTGGGTGAAAGTGATATTTTTCTCCACCTCGAACATCGAGGAATTTAACTCTCGGATGACGACCCCAGAATCTTAGCCTACTGCAGTGTGGGACATACATTTGTTGTCGCAAGGGAAAGTGAAACAGACCAAAACTCACAATTTGGCCCTTACAGGACACTGTGTTATGTGTAACTGATCACAAAAGCATAGTAACATGAATTTTCGATACATTGTGCTGGGTACTTCTCATTAGGATAAGATATTGACGTAAAAGTTAGGCCTACCAGTAATTTATTTCAGATAGCCTCCCGGAAGATCCCACCACCTGACCCTCCAAGTGAACGCAAAATCATTGACAGCATAAACTCAAAGTATGGCTTTTTTATCATAAAAGGTGATTTCAAGAAAGCATCTAAACTGATTTGATGAACCACCTTCATGATATGTAAGCCTATACCTTCAGTTTTGATGTTGATGATACTTATGTAGCTCGCTTTATGTGAAATTGCCATTTAACTTACCCTGGGCATTGTCACTTGTAATACTGTCAGTCTTGGAAGAGGTTCGTTAATCAATCAAAAGAGCGGGGGTAAGCATCTATCTACCACAGGCCGGCCGAATGATGACGTCAGTTTTATGGGAAGATTCCCACAGTATGGCAAAGTGCATAGAATTAATTAGCTACAGAAATGACAGCGAATATCTTGTAAAGAGTCAGACTGTGACCCTGATGTGTAGTGAATACGTCTAGCTCATTAAACGGTTTAACGTGCATATACCGGCATCGCCAGCATGGTAATGTGGCGCAAATGTTTGACAAAAGGTAGCTACCATTTAAAGTGTATAATTATTTAAAAGTAACACCCTACTTGTCATGGTATAATAGGAACGTTTGTATGGCTTATGTTTACAAGGTGTGATGCAAATTATTATAGTGATATGAGCAGTTATTTTGAATGTCAAATGCGATAGGTACTGGTATACAGTCTTGTGTTTTCTTTGGTATACCCAACTGCGTAAATGATTCTGTTTAAATATGTAAGCAGTACAGGACAGCTTGTTTACCTCTGTATTTGTTGAATCTTCTTGTTACAATTCTTATTTTTGCAATTGCATGTACTTCGTGCGGGAAGCATTTCAATAAAAAAATTATAAAGGTGATTCACAATTTCGGTGAAAATATTCAAGTTCTGTTGCGTTACATACACCGTTATCTTGGTGAACAGTAGCAATTGAAATGTATAACATATATTATGTCTTTTGCATTATTACGCGATTTCCAATTGTGTTTGTTGTGATACCGATAAGGGTGCGCCGCAGCATTGCTTCTCCAAAATACCCTAGCTGTACATGTGCAACGGCATAAGACGCCTCCATACAGGTACATGCCTTAACCAATAAACACAATAAAAAATCAAACAGCAATTCAATATAGCCCACCCGATATCGTTAGACAGTATGAACAACTGTTTGTGTTGCAATTACAGATTTGTGAAATAGCAGGAAGTGGAAAGAGGCTTCTTAGTCCACAAAACGATGTCTCTTGAAACAGTATCACAAAGAAAGACAGAGACACTTGTAAATGAAAATTAAGCGCCCATCACACTACTTTTAGTGTAGCTAAGTACTCAAAGAACATAATTACCTGTTCAATCCCGTCCTTGTAAAATATTGATCACCATAGCATTATCTTGCTCGTAAGAGTAACAATTTAATTTATATAGTGAATATATGTAATTTGATAATTTCTTAATTGATATTTTGTTCACTTCTTGTTACATAAGCATACAGTATTTTTATAAGTAGCATAACCAAACAATGTAACACGTACAATGTAGCATTAAATTCTGAATGAATAATGATCAATTATAATTCCAACAGTCGTCAGTGCTGTAATTTGTACAGAACATCAGCTACTAAACTTATAAGATACTTGGACGGCACAGTGCTAGTAGTCTAGTTGCTGCTTTTATACCCGTCTTCAACCAATACTATATATATGAACTCCTTGTGAGGCAAGGCAGATAATGACAAAATGCACTCTGATATCGCAGGGGTACAGCCTGTTGTAAAATTGAAGAAGAGGCGGTTCAGCATTTATGCAACAGGCTAGAAGCGACCCCTGTGGTCTGACAGAAAAGATAAACCGTTTTGAAATGTGATGATATATAATGGGATGATGGCAACTTTGGTGAAAGGTTGAATACTCTAACGACCGCGAATGCCACTTGCGCAATTGCGTTTTTGGTGAAACGGGTTGTTACAGATCATCTAGCCGTATTTCACAGTTAGGGACTAATTTTTAGAAATCTAATCCTGGACTTACAATTTAGTCTAGCTGTCGAGGCTGCGTCTCCCTCTCGGAGCCTTCAGCTGCTGTACTAATCCTGATCAATTCCTACCCCTATAGTTGGCGAATCCATAATAGCCTACGTGGCGATATCCAGGCATTTGATGCGATGTCCGTCATAAAGAATATGCCAGTGGTGAACAGTTGGGTTATTTTACCCCCCACTGCAATTATTTGAGTTAAGTTCTTTTTATGCACAACATCAAAACTATCATTTGTAGTCTGTCACATCAACAAGAGGTAAAAATACTATATGATGGTGGCGTTTGCAGGTCACAAGGTAAAACTTGACATGTCGAAAATAAACTACATACGATGTTTATCTATGGAACAAGTAATAGTATGTTGTCCCATGACTACCCCAAAGAAGCTGTAAATGGGTTGGAATGATCTAATATTTCATAAAGAATTAAAATATGCCCCAGATGAAAAGTTGGAGACACACGTACATGTAGGCCTTTATTAGTTTCATCGCAGTTATTTGTTGCAAAAACCAACAGCTTGGAATTCGATTTTGAGGTTAATTTTTCTTGCACTACAGCAAAATTGCTAGGCCTATGATGGTACATGTAGTAGGACATGAGTTAACGCATGGCATGTGATATGAAATATGGCACAAAGTGTCACATGGACTGGTGCGCCTTTACAGGTTCAGTCATACGAAACGTTCACTCAACGTCAGGGTTAAAGGAGAAATCAAGGCCGCACGTACACTGAACATCTGTTAAAAATAATATATAAAACTAATAACACCAGATTAACTGTTACATTTACACTCTCACACTGTATGAATCGCATGTCTACATAATAATCGTATTATACAAATGACACCATATTAGACTCTGAACAATGAATCACAACAAACACAATGAATATCAAGCACCAAAACCCACATTTTATCAGAAACCCCTCTTCCACTTTTACTAAGGATCCACTGGTAGTGCCCGTCTCTGAATGGGGAGGATGTGGGTTCTATCCCGCCCTGTGACGTCCCAGTCCTTCATAGCCAGTGCCTGCTGTCTCCCCGCTCCAGGGGCGGATCCAGGATTATTTGAAGGAGGAGGTAAGGGGGGTCCGCGGATGTGTAGCCGTCCTCAACCGAACCCCTTATCTCCCAGGATTTTGGTGTTTTAGACGACGAACGGTGCCATTTGATACGCTTTAGAACCAGAATATGTTTTAATACGATGGCATTAGGATGCTCCTGATTGTGGCGGGCTGACCCCGCTCATGCACGCCATCTATCGGGGAATTTAGAAACCTTAGAAACAAAGTAAACCAAGAACGCAAACGGTTACAAACGGTCTACTACAGAACTCAGATTGAAGAGGCAAAATCGTCAGACCCAGGGAAATGGTGGAAAGGTATCAATAACATCATGGGTAAATCTCAAAACAGTGCCTCTCTGACCACCATGGCCAACCATCTCCATGAGGGGGATATGGAAGCACTTGCACAAAACATCAACAACTTCTTCCAGTCCATTACTTCTCACCTAGACCCCTTAGATGAGACGGACTTCCATGATGTTAACATTCCCTCACAGTACCAGCTCACAGTAGAACAAGTGGAAAGATCTCTCATTAATATTAACACAAACAAGGCATCCGGTCCTGATAATATACCGAACTGGATTCTCAAAGACTTTGCTGGAGTTCT